AAGAAAAAAAACAATTTTGTTTTGCACTGCTAAAAATTAAACCCAGGGCCTGGCACATGCTATGCAAGAGCTATGCCACTGAGCTATATTCCCAGTCCCACAGAGCCTGCAGATATTGAAAGGCTAAGAGAACACTATGAATAATTGTATAAATATAAATTTGACGACTTAGATGAAATTGATCAGCTCACTGGAAAGAACAAACTACAACATATTCTATATAAAATAGATAATTTGGTGTGATGAAATCCTTTTGCTAGTAACAGACTCATTCTATAGCTACCTCATTAGATATTTGTCAACCAAAAAATATTTTTGTAGTACTGGGGATTTAAGATAGGATCCTAGGCCAGGGATTTAGCTCAGTGGTTCGGTGGCCTGCCTTGCAAGTACAAGGACCCAAGTTCAATCCCCGGTACAAAAAAAAAAAAAGATAGGATCCTGCACTAATATACATCCACTGCCTTTTTATTCATTTTTTATTTTGAGACAAGTTCTTGATAAATTGTCCATGCTGGCCTTGAACTTACAGTAATCCTCCTGCCTCAGCTTCCAGAGTAGCTGGGATTACAGGTGTGTACCACCATATCCAGCACCAATTGTCCTTTATAAACAGGAAAATTGTAAGGCAGTAAAGGTTTTGCCAAACTTTAAACATTAGTGCAGCGCACAAGTGTAATTCCAACATTTGGAAAGCTGAGGCAGAAGGATTGCTGTAAATTCAAGGCCAGCATGGGCTACATAATGAATTTAAGGCCAGCCTAAACTACACATAGCTAGAGCCTGTCTCAAAAAACAAACAACAAAAAACCCTCTAGATATCAATAAATACTTGCTAACTAGTTCTCTCCTCTCGTGTACAACTGTGATTCTCAAAGGTTAAGATGCATCAGAATCACCTTGTTCAAACAGACTGCTGAGTCCCAGTTCTACCTCAAGAATTTGTATTTTTAACAAATTCCCAGTTGATAAACCATACTTTGAGAACAAGTGATGTACAGTAATGATATGTTAGCCTATCTATCCCTCAGTATTAGAAACTACATACTCCCCACAAAGGGGGAAAATCAAGAGCTGGGGGTGTTGGCACATGACTATAATTCCAGCACCTGGGAGGCTAAGGCAGGAGGAACCCCGTGAAGTTTGAGGCCAGCCTGGGATACATGGTGAGTTGAAAGCCAGTCTGAACTACATAGCAAGGCCCTGTCTCAAAAACCAACAAAAAAATGGCAGGGTTGGGGTAAAAATCAAGACAGCATAATGCTTTAAATTAGTGGTTCTTGAGGATTGGCCCACTTAACTACTGAACCAGAAACACTACAGATGTGGTCTACCTAGCTTCCTGTGTCACAGCTCTTCCATGTGATTTTGATGTTCACTAATTTGTACACTAATTTGAGAAGCAGAATACTACAAATCAAAGTTTCACCTTTTCTGGTTTTTGCTTTTTGTTTTTTTCAAAACTTAGCCTCTTACAGAAAGAATGACACTATAGCATTTTTTTTCTATTTTTGAGAACCTGGGCTCTCAAATTAAATAATTCAAAGTGCAAATCCACATTCAGAATGTCACTTAACTCCCTTAAGTTCCAGATTCTCATCAGCAAAACACAATAGTTGCCTCCTTTGCTATACCCTCTACAGGTATTAATCTGGCATTACACAAACCATGATCCCTAACTGGACCTCAAAAAATCTACCAGAGATGTGAATGGCTTCTATCATCACCTATAGTCATTTGTGGATTTAAATTTTGTGGGTTTAGCTATTGTAAGCAACCATGAAAACTCTACAATATTGTTATTTTCAACCGTGCTGAAGTCTAAACTTAAATGGTGTGCTATGAGACTGGTGTGTTTGTGCACATACAAACTATGCACTGAGTAAGCAAGAGCAGCCACCCACCAAGGACCTGATTCTCAGCTAGCTTCCTTGTTCTCTGGCAGTGCATAGAAAGAAGCAGAAGAGATTTAAAAACAGGTTTCTTTCATGGTTAAAAAATTAAGGCAATTAACTAATGTCTGGGTATACCTAGAAATACAGAACTCACCACAGAAATGTGATTAAAGAGGGGCCTAGCCCATAGATCCATTTCCGTATTTCTATGACTGAATTTCCTAGAGGCAGGCCTCAATGGTGGTCCTTGTAAATGTCAAGTGCCTACTGTGCAAAGATGTTCACCACAATGTTTTTCTTTTTAACCGGCACTCATATCAAGATGCAAAACCTGTCCAGAATTCCCAGTTTCATCATTATAATATTATTTATAATATAAAAATT